CTGTGGACTCAAACCATGATGCATCTGGACCAAACTTGGCACAAATACTCCATATGCCCAATCTATACAATATTCATATTACTAGGTTCTTGTGGGTTTTTTCGGGCTATAGGCCATGTTCTAGAGGCATTTCTCCTGACGTTTCGCCTGCATCTATGACAAGCATCCTCAAAGGTAGTGAGGTCTGTTGGAAACAGACCTCACTACCTCTGAGGATGCTTGCCATAGATGCAAGTGAAACGTCAGGAGAAATGCCTCTAGAACATGGCCCTATAGCCCAAAAACACCCACAAGAACCTAGTGATTCCAGCCATGAAAGCCTTCGACAATACAATAGACCTTGACATTTGGGAGTTATAGTTACTGGGATTTACAAACAAAGAACATTCTGAATCCCACAAACGACAGAATTGGGGCAAACTTCCCACACAGAACCGCCATGGCCAACAGAAAATACTTAAGGCCATGAAGTCCAACTCCCTTCACCAGGGCAAGAAAAAAGCCCTCCTGACAAAGGCCATCCAGCCATAGATATAGATAGATATATGATTCACACACAGATATAGTATCATAGATTTGAAAGGGACCCCTAAAGAAGGACAATTATATATTGCATGTTCCAGAGTAGGCAAACCAGACACTCTCCACATCAACACTGACAAAGAAACAACAAGAAATACTGTTTACTCACAAGCATAAAGTTACATATATTAGAAACTAACACTTTCTCATTACTTTATTTTCCGGATCACCAGACTGGGCCACAGCGACGCGTGGCAGGGGTCGGCTAGTATACAATAAATTGCATTAGGAATAAATGAATATTTGTCAATCTCCGTTTTCCCCCTAGCATTACTGGAATAAGTAAGGATGTGGATTACATACATGTATAGTGTCACTATCTGAAATGGGAGTGGGACTTCTATCCTGTTGGGTATAGAGGTGCTTCCTTGCAAAACCCAACATGAACTGTTTGCTAATAGAGAGCAAAAAAGCAAATTCCTGTTATCTCTAAACAGATGCCCCTTTTTGTCCATGTTCCATTTTCACTCTCAAGCAGTGCTTCACATATGAGGAAGAGATAGAAAGAACAAAGCTGGCCTTCTTATATTTGCAAATGTTGGCTGAGAATGTTTTGGGGAAGGGCAGGAAGCAAATTCATTAAACACTTCATCTGGAGATGCAGTGGTGAATCTGACTGCACTCCCAAATGATTCCACATACATGCTCACTATTTAGTGATCACTATCGAATTGTTGCCAAATTGTGAACCGCTCCAAGTCACCTCTGGGCTGAGAGGGGCGGTATATAAATATAGTAAATAAATAAATAAATATGCAAGTTATGATCAGATTTATCATAATTTGCATTATTATTTATTTATTTACTATATTTATATACCGCCCCTTTCAGCCCAGAGATGACTTGGAGCGGTTCACAATTTGGCAACAATTCGATGCCTCAACAATTATAACAAGTAAAAGGAAAAACAAGTAAAAACAAGGAAATTCTGTTAAAAACAACAGCATATGATATAAAAATATATAAACCCTACAAAGCCTTAGAACATTATCTTGAGAGTCTCCATGTCAAATTGTTATTCCATTGCGTTATCAAGTAGCTCCATAATTCTGTTTAGCTATGCCATTTTTGGGAAGGCCTGCTCAAAAAGTCAGGTTTTCACCTTTTTTCGAAAAGTCAGGAGGGAGGGAGCCAATCTTATATATCTAGGCAGGGTATTCCACAGTTGAGGGGCCACCACTGAGAAGGCCCTGTCTCACGTCCCCACCAGACGCATCTGCTAAGAAGGCAGGAGTGAGAGCAGGGTCTCCCCAGAAGGTCTTAATGTCCTAGATGGTTCATAAGGAGAGATACGTTCAGATAGGTAAGTTGGACTGAAACCGTGTAGAGCTTTATAGGCCAAAGCCAGCACTTTGAATTGTACCTGGAAGCAAACAGGCAGCCAGTGGAGCTGGTGCAACAGAGGAGTTGTGTGCTCCCTGAGCGCCACTCCTGTTAGCAACCTGGCTGCCGCTCACTGGACCATTTGCAGCTTCTGAACAGTCTTCAAAGGCAACCCCACATAGAGTGCATTGCAGTAATCTATACGGGATGTAACCAGAGTGTGGACTACTGTGGCCAAGTCAGACTTCCCAAAGTACGGGTGCAGCTGTCGCACAAGTTTTAACTGTGCAAATGCTCCCATGGTCACTACTGAGACCTGGAGCTCCAGGCTCAGCAATGAATCCAGGATCACACCCAATCTGCGAACCTACGTCTTCAGGGAGAGTGTAACCCCATCCAACACAGGCTGTAACCTTATATCCTGTTTGGCCTTGTGACTGACCAGGAGTTCCTCTGTCTTATAAATGTCATATAACATCATAACTTAAGTAGGGAAAAAAGTAAGGCTACATTTCTGCTCCTAGTTACTCACTACACATGAATCCCACTGATGTCTGTGATTCTTAACTCAAAATCAGCATACTGCTTCCTTCGCTAATTCTAGTCAATTAGGGATCACATGGCCAGTGTGATGCTGTTATATCCTACCAGACTTAACTATGTGCATATTAAGGACAGAGTCATATTACAGAAAGGACAATACATAGGCTAATACTTTTGAATGTTAGCCAGCATGTTGGATGATATTCTGAAAAACCATTGAAGAGGAAAATATGCTTTTAAATACTGCCAAAAATATATATATTTTAAATAGGAAAAACATTCAGCCTCCTCCTGGTTTGGTATGACTACTTCTGAAACTTTACAATACTTCAGATTTTAACACAATAATTTACATAAATCAAACATCTGGGATTTACTCAAAAGAACAGCTATTTAAAAACTCAGCCAGAAAGAATAAAGAATAATTAAATCTAGTCCAGCAGAACACATAACGGCAACCTTGAGTGATTTTTGTATCCTTCCATGTATTCCAAACCTCTTTTTGTAAAACTTTTGTACACTTTTAATTTATAGACACAGAAGAAAATCAGGCAGATTGTTTTATACCAGTTCCTCGAAATCCAATTCCATGCTTTTCATGAGTGCAAAAGTACAAATGTTACTGTAGTAAATTAAATTACTCAAAGAAAGCCGATAATCTTAATTTAACCAAATTAGACTAGCATTGTTTTGGTTCCACTGCTCTCTGTTAAGTACTGCTCCAAATATAGGTTTAAAGTTTTCACCATAATATTTCTGGCAACGCTCTTGTGGGTTATTTATTGCATGAAACAAGTCATCACCTCAAGGCAAATCAGTGCAGCTAAAATCACAAGCTCAAAAGTGGAGCAGCATGATAGAAGAGATAATATCAAGAGAGATCCTTTCCGAAGAAAGAAAAGTACAGCTTTATTTCCAGCTGGGACCCTGGAGTGGAGCTGTGTCCAAAAGCAACCAGAGCAATGATAAATGCATTGACTTTCCCTTTTATACACTTCAAATGCAGACAAACAAAGAAACATGCTTCTACATACATTGACATCATTCACTTTGTCACTTCAGCATCATAGAAATATCAAATTCTATCTTCCAACATGCGAAAGGCATGTCTCTGTATTTCTTTCTAAAGAGGAGCATACAGCTTACAGCTTACATTCATCAATCAAGGGGCCTATTTTGACCTGTCAGGAGGGAGGGGGATAGGCTCCTTTCTTAGAAGTCAGATGCTATATTGTACCAGTCTCTGTATATGAAATAAGGGTATAGATAACCAAGTCCACCCTCTCTCCTCCACATTTGTCCAACATCTCCTTCTCTGTCAGTCTGCCGCCTTCTAGTACACAGGAGAGAACACTACTAGTTTTACCTTACATTCAGTGCTGGTAAAGTACATACAATAATAGACTTTAAACTAAATATTAGGCATGGTTGATAACAGCGTGTGTAATTTCTAAGCTTATACATTCAGAAAAATTCATAAATAAAATAACCTTTAATAAGAAAGTGATATCGATGCGCACTATTTTTGGCAACCCATGAAGTAAGTTCTTTGCCATAATGAAGCCGCAGCCGCCATCTTCTCTTACGACTTTGTCCCCCCAGTGAATCTGTAAATAAGCTGGAGGCATAGCGCCTTCAGAACAGTGTTCTTACCCACGCACCAACATTACTCTACTCTTTTGCAAAACCCCCCCCCGGGGCCTTTACGCTGGAGGTGGTGCCTTGTGACCGAGGGGGCGTGGCTACCGGCCGACAAGCGGCGATGCGTGGAAGAGCCTGCGCCGCTAGCCACGCCCAACCTCGCCAAAGCCACCTCAGCAAAGCCGCCGATGCAAAGAGGAAGGAGGTGGGGGTGGATAAGAAAGAGGAAGGAGGTGGGGGTGGATAAGGCCATGCCCCCAGCAACCCAAGGAGTGCTGTGCTTGGCCATGCCCACCTCTCCCTTCTGCATGACTGACAGCTTGCCAGGAAGGGAAGGAAGGTGAGAGATTTTAAAAGTGTTAGTTTTAAAATCTCTCACCTTTCCTTCCCTTCCTGGCAAGCTGTCCGTCATGCAGAAGGGAGAGGTGGGCATGGCCAAGCACAGCGCTCCTTGGAGGTCGCTGGGGGCGGCCTCCAAGGAGGGCTGTGCTTGGCCATGCCCACCTCTCCCTTCTGCATGACTGACAGCTTGCCGGGAAGGGAAGGAAAGGTGAGAGAAGCTCACCGCAAGGGAAGGAAGGGAAACTGCGAGATTTTAATGGTTCTGGAGGGAGGGAGGGGCACTTCCATTAACGAAACAAAAGACACTATTCGTATTTCCTGGTATTTCCGATCTTTTTTTCAAGAAAATTTCAGAAATAATTTCAAAATCGAACCGCCAGCGCCCCCTATATACAAAATGAGTTTAGAAGCATTTTTTCTTGATCAACCAAGCCATATATATATATATATATATATATATATATATATAAAAGCAAATATGAGTCTTCATGCATATGAGAAGATTCTGGAAGGCTATGGTGACTAGTAAAATGTTGTAATGTATGATGTTTATAAAGAATTATTCTCACTGTGTCAAGCATTAGAAAGGCCTTCTTGAGGGAGGAATAGGCATCCTGGATATGTTCGTGCAGTTTTATGAGAATTCGGTCACTAGCCACATCTTCATCCAATTTTCTGCTTCTGCAGGAAGAAAATAATGAGTTCTCATCCAAAATTTCCAGCAGCAGTCATAGAATCAAGAAGCTGGATAAACCTTCGAGGGCCATCCACTCAATTTCAGAACTCCACAGCTCAATTTTAATCCAATACTAGTGAAAGGGTTGTAGCTCAGCGGTAGAGCTTGTGTTTGGAACTCAGAAATTCACTAGTTCAATCCAAACAAAACTAGAAAACTCTTTTATCTGAACACTCAAGGGAATGGTTGCCTACCAACAACACAGTTAAACAAGAGCCAGTGATCTTACTCAGTAGACATTGCTGATTAATACTGTATGAAAAAAAATAGACAGTGATTCCTCAGTGGTGAATCAAAAGCCAACAGATGGAATATCTACTGGCTCAGTATGAGCAATACTGTGGGAATAGGGAAAACAGAAAGGCAGCTCTGTTCAGAGAAGGACCCTGTGGTTGAAGGCATAGTAGAGCTGCAGTTACAGACACTAACCCATAGATCCTTCTAGTAGGAATACAAAAATAGTTTCAGAAACATTTCAATAGAAATTAATATATCCAAACATATTTTTTAATGTTTTAGATGTTTATTGAAGTCCAAAATATGTTTATCAAAACAAAACATGAAGAATTTTTCTATGAAAAATGAGAAAAATCAGGGGGAATATTTGGTCTGGTTGAAAAGTAGGACAGTGAGACATCACACCCTGGCTTGCATTCTGTATGAACAAAGTTATCTGTCCTACAATATATTATAGGATGCCTTGCAAATGACAGTTTCATATTAAAGAATGCAGATCGGTAGATTAAAGGTAAAGGTAGTCCCCTGACATTAAGTCCAGTCATGTCTGACTCTGGGGTGTGGTGCTCATCTCCATTTCTAAGCCGAAGAGCCAGCGTTGTCCGTAGACACCTCCAAGGTCATGTGGCCGGCATGACTGCATGGAGCGCTGTTACCTTCCCGCTGGAGCGGTACCTATTGATCTACTCACATTTGCATGTTTTCGAACTGCTAGGTTGGCAGAAGCTAGGGCTGACAGCGGAAGCTCACGCCGCTCCCCGGAATCGAACCTGCGACCTTTCGATCAACAAGCTCAGCAGCTCAGTGCTTTAACCCACTGTGCCACCGGGGGCTCCAGATCGGTAGATTAGCAGTTGAAAAACATTACAGCACAGGATTGTGGAGGCAGGTGAAGGAAAAGCCTGTACCACATTATTTTTTGATTTTGTAGATATTATATGTTGATGAACTCTTATTATGTTCCCAATGTATACTTTAAAATGTAAAATATTAGCACAACAGGTAATTTCCAAATACACCTACTGTAAAAGTACTACTCTGCCTCCATTTCTAGTGGAATGCTGTCAAGCATGTGTAAACTGCACCATGTGTTGTAGACTGTGGAAGGACATTTTACTGAAATCATAAGCTAAGACCATTTAGTGTAATCTCTCTCTTACCTGCCTTGTTTTTTTGTAATAGAGGCTTGGCTCATATCAAATATCAAGGGGTCTTGAAACGTATCTAAAAATCTTTCCCAAGCCATATTCTTGGAAATTTTTATTCCAAATCTGATCAACAAAACAAGAGATTAATGTTTTAAAATGATGTATTTGACTGAATTTCAATATATAGATTTGTTAGTCTGGAATTGTAGCATCTTTGAGACTAACTTAGAAAAAGTAGTTGCAGCAGAAACTTTTGTTGACTTGGTCTACGTCCCCAGAGGCATAGAGTGAACCTGGGAACAGGCCTTGATAAAGCAAACCATATGAATAGCCATAGAAATGCAAAACATGTATTTGTTTGGTAAGATTACCTACAATTGATCAAAACTGATGTTTGAACTTGAGACAGATTCAGTGAAAGAGGACCTTTTGACATCTAATGCAGGGTAACAGCAGACTTCAGAGATGGCAACACAGCCAGAACTGTAACAAGACTATCTTGGTCAAGGAGATGCTACAGCTGATATATCGGCCTAAACAAATGAAAGGTGCTCCATGCTGTGGATGTTACCTGTGTATCTATATCAAGAGCTGAATCTAATTGTGTCCCAAACTATAAACTGTTCCTTAAGTAGGAGTGTACTTTGCCCCCATAAGAATGCCTACAGAAACCACTGAATCACTAACAAACAACAGTTCTGTTATGTCTGCAGTAAGCTTCTAATGTATTAGCCTGGGTTCAAAACTTCCTCTGCCTCATGTGATTCTGATTCTAGACAGTTAATAGCGGTTTTATGAAGCTACTGGATAACATAGAAGCCAGAACAAAATCCTCTCAAGTACCATGAAAAAATATAATCCCTAGCACAGTGTTTTCCAACCTGGGGGTCGGGACCCCTGGGGGGTCATGAGGGGGTGTCAGAGGAGTTACCAAAGACCATCAGAAAACACAGTATTTTCTGTTGGTCACGGGGATTCTGTGTGGGAAGTTTGGCCCAATTCTATTGTTGACAAGGTTCAGAATTTCCTTTGATTTTAGGAGAATTATAAATCTCAGCAACTACAACTCCCAAATGTCAAGGTCTATTTTTCCCAAACTCCATCAGTGTTCACATTTGGGCATATTGAGTAATTGTGCCAAGCTTGGTTCAGATCCATCATTGTCTGAATCCACAGTGCTCTCTGGATACAGGTGAACTACAGCTTCAAAACTCAAGGTCGGTGCCCACCAAACCCTTCTAGTATTTTCTGTTGGTCATGGGAGTTCTGTGTGCTAAGTTTGGTTCAATTCCATCATTGATTGAGTTCAGAAATGCTCTTTGTTTGTAGGTGAACTATAAATCCCAGCAACTACAACTCCCAAATGTCAAGGTCTATTTTTCCCAAACTCCCTCAGTGTTCACATTTGGGTATATTGAGTAATTGTGCCAAGCTTGGTCCAGATCCATCATTGTCTGAGTACACAGTGCTCTCTGGATGTAGGTGAACTATAGCGCCAAAACTCAAGGTCGGTGCCCACCAAACCTTTCTGGTATTTTCTGTTGGTCATGGGAATTCTGTGTGCTAAGTTTGGTTGAATTCCATCATTGACTGAGTTCAGAATGCTCTTTGTTTGTAGGTGAACTATAAATCCCAGCAACTATAACTCCCAAATGGCAAAATCAATCTCTCCCCCCCCCCCACCCTTCCAGTATTTTCTGTTGGTCATGGGAGTTCTGTGTGCAAGTTTGGTTCAATTCCATCGTTGGTGGGGTTCAGAATGCTATTTGATTGTAGGTGAACTATAAATCCCAGCAACTACAACTCCCAAATGACAAAATCAATCCTCCCCCCCAACCCCACCAGTATTCAAATTTGGGTGTATTGGGTATTTGTGCCAAATTTGATCCAGTCAATGAAAATACATCCTGCATATCAGATATTTACATTACGATTCATAACAGTAGCAAAATTACAGTTATGAAGTAACAATGAAAATAATGTTATGGTTGGGGGTCACCACAATATGAGGAATTGTATTAAGGGGTCGTGGCATTAGGAAGGTTGAGAAACACTGCCTTAGCACCAAATTCTATGGAGCAGTGATTTTCAAATTGGGTTGTAGTAGGCTTTTCAGGCTCTATGGCACGTGAAACGTCAAGAAAGAATGCCTCTAGAACATGGCCATATAACCCGAAAAACCTACAACCCAGTGTTTCCGGCCATGAAAGCCTTCGACAATACGATTTTCAAACAAAAATACATATGTGCCCCTGGGGTTCCCCCCCCCCTTTTCCCCCATCCCTGGCTTTACTCTATTTCCCACTTTTCTATCTCCTTCACAATATTCTCCCACTTTCCATGTAACCACACTATCTTTCAATAATAATAATAATAATAATAATAATAATAATAATAATAATACAATACGATTTTCAAATTGTGCTCCATGGAGCCCTTAGGGCTTTGCAAAGCAAATTGAGGGGCTCCACACTTCTCTCCCCTCCCCCTCCAAGTGCACATGTAGCTGTACCACCTGTCCCTCCTCTCTCTTTTCTCCTATTTTCATCCAAAGTTACTATGAGATCTGGCAACTCATCATTTCTTGGGGAAAGTCAACTGTATTGTTCTGCCTTTGCCATTCATGATTATCAGTTCTCAAAAAGTGTCACCAATATAGTTTCAGGGCCCAATTGGGCCCTGAAATTAGACTGAAATGAGTATAGACCAGGAATGGGAAACCTCTCTCTCATGAATATAATTCAACCAATGTATGTTGTCCATACAACTCATGTCTACATTTGATGAACTGATCTGCCTTCTACTCTAATCCCATCCATGGAGCTATCCTAGAAGGAAACCACCTTGCTAGTTCAAATCATGAATTCCATTCATGGGTTTTCTCGTCTTCCTCTCTTTTCTCATATGGGCAACAGAGAAGAGGGCAATGTTACTGGCTACACTCTGTTGGCTTGAAAGTGTGGACTTCATTTCAATTCTTTCTTTTTTGCTTCGGATGTGAGGAGGAGGAAGAGAAGGTGGAGGAGGAGAAACAAGACTGAAACTTCATCTAGCATTTGCAAATGCCAGCTTAAAGTACCTGGCTTTGTTCCCCCTCTACTTTTCCCACTCTTAGATGACATTTTCAAGAACAACTTTTGAATCACTTCCTTCTTTCCCACATAGAAATGCAGGAGGGAAAACAAGGCTGGATCATCAGCCAATCTTTTGCAAATGCTGACTGAGAGTGCTTCATTCCTCCCTTCATTTGACACAACAGTTTCTAAAACCATGTAGCTGTATATCTGTCATGAGGTATAGTGTCTAAACGGGACAAACCCTTTAACCCTTATACCTAACTTAATGGTAACCAACTTATTATTTATTTATTTATTTTGCGTATTTCTACCCCGTCCTTCTCAACGCTCGAGGGGGGACTCAGGGCAGCTTACAAAAGGCACAATTCGATGCCAACACAACAATAAAATAGAACATATATAGACAATAATCATAAGCAATTAAAATAATCAATTATACATTATAATCAATAAAACCAGTCTAGTGCTCAACGTTTGCCAGCTCAGAGTCCGTAAATTCATTCCACATTGTCAAATCCTCTCAATTCTAGTCGTCGCTTGTCCTTTGTCTAACTGCCAGATTACCCAAAGACCTGGTCCCATATCCATGTTTTTAATTTCCTTCTAAAAGAGAGGAGGGATGTCGATGACCTAATTTCCCCGGGAAGTGAATTCCACAGGAGGGGCCACCACCGAGAAGGCCCTGCTCCTCGTCCCCACCAATCTCACTTGTGATAGAGGTGGGGCCGAGAGCAGGGCCTCCCCAGAAGATCTTAAACTCCAAGGTGGGATGTAGAAGGAGATACGTTCGGGAGATGCGTTCGGACAGATATGCTGGGCTGGAGCCATATAGGGTTTTGTAGGTCAAAACCAGCACTTTGAATTGTGCTTGGAACTGGATCGGCAGCCAGTGGAGCTGACATAACAGAGGGGTGGTATGCTCCCTGTATGACGCTCCGGTGAGTAATCTGGCTGCCGCCCGCTGGACTAATTGAAGATTCCTAACAGTCTTCAAAGGCAACCCCACGTAGAGTGCGTTTCAGTAATCTATTCGGGATGTAACAAGAGCATGGACCACTGACTAGCTCAGAACTTGAGCTAGATGTGCTGGATTCTCTTTTTTATGACTGTATGGTTATAAAAACCAAGAGTAAACAAATCCATTGGCAAAAGGACACACAATGGGCAAACGAAAGCTTTGTATGATCAATACCATTTTAAAATATATGCATGCAATATAAGGCCTTCCTCCAGTGAAACATGTATTGCATTGATCATATACAATCCCAGATTTTATGCAATAAAAATGTCAAGAGAGAGACAGAATAAAATGTTGGTGGATAAATATCACACTGGTATAATAAATATTACAAATGCTTCACCACTTTGTCATGTAAAAAAAAGTGAGAAATATATAAAAGCAGGTTGCCAGTATGTTGAACACCTTTTGAGCAGTGGGAAAAATATATTTTAAATATTTCCCAAAGGATTATTTATTAATTCCAAGAAAACTAGCTGTTTGTTTCATTCTTCCATCACATCACTGAGGATGGTCATTGTACGGAATTCATAGCACTGCAACTTTGGAATTGCATTATTTAAGCACTATTGCCTGAATGTATATAGCAGTTGCAGCAAAGACATTTCTGTTTATACCATCATTAAAATGACAATGTACTTTCCTATGCTAAGATGGAAGAGAAAAAAACCCACCCCATGGAAAACTGCAAGCAAATAAAATCACAATTTTGCCTTCAGATTTAAGACCACAAAGAAAAAGTGGCAACAGAACAGTAGCAGCAACATTTTCTGAAAAGCAGTAATTGATCGCCCATTACAGTCGGTTGAGAATTACTTGAAGCCATTTGTGATTTATTTGGTGACTGTACTATGTAATAAGGTCATGGCAGATCAGACTCTCCCTCAATACTCACTAGTATGAAATGTTTATTAGAAGTGAGACATTTAAACTTCAGAGGGCCTCAAAATGTGCACTCATTTCCACAGCTCATTTTTTTATTTCTAAAACCCAATCTAAACTGACACATCCTATCTTATTGAAGTATTAACTATTTTATTTCATTCCATTTCTTGTTTGTACCCCACTTTCGCTTCCCAAAGGAAGGCCAAAGCAGCTAATATTGTATTCAGTTTTAATTTTTATTATTTATTTAATGTGTTAAAGTCCTTATCAAGGGCTCCAGGATAGATTATAAAATAAAATGGATAGATTATAACATTCTTTTCCTGCCCTCCATCCTGGCAGAAAAACATCTGTGTTTTCCATTTGCATCCAAACCAAATTTGGTATAAGTGAGGAAACCTAAATACAATAAAGGCAGCAAATCCCATCTGATTTTAGAAGCTAAGGTAAAGGTAAAGGTTTTCCCCTGACATTAAGTCCAGTCGTGTCTGACTCTGGGGTGTGGTGCTCATCTCAATTTCCAAGCCGAAGAGCTGCCGTTGTCCGTAGACACCTCCAAGGTCATGTGGCTGGCATGATTACATGCAGTGCCATTACCTTCCCGCCGGAGTAGTACCTATTGATCTACTCACATTTGCATGTTTTCAAACTGCTAGGTCCCCCTCGGGGTGAGAAAAGCGGTATACAAATACTGTAAATAAATATTTCGAACTGCCAGGTTGGCAAAAAAATGAGGCTGACAGCGGAAGCTCATGCTGCTCCCCAGATTTAAACCTGAGACCTTTCAGTCAACAAGCTCAGCAGCTCAGTGGTTTAACCCACTGCACCCCCAGGGGCTCATTTAGAAGCTAAGACAGGTGAATTATAGTTCATCATTTGTATAATCAATACCATTCTTAAATATAGCCATGTAATATAACACTTGGAGCCCCTGGTGGCTCAGTGGGTTAAAGTGCTGAGCTGCTGAGCTTGTTGATCGAAAGGTCGCAGGTTCGAATTCGGGGAGTGGCATGAGCTTCCGCTGTCAGCCCCAGCTTCTGCCAACCTATTTATTTATTTATTTACAGTATTTGTATACCGCTTTTCTCACCCCGAGGGGGACCTAGCAGTTTGAAAACATGCAAATGTGAGTAGATCAATAGGTACCGCTCCAGCGGGAAGGTAAGGGCGCTCCATGCAGTCATGTCGGCCGCATGACCTTGGAGGTGTCTATGGACAATGCTGGCTTTTCGGCTTAGAAATGGAGATGTGCACCACATCCCAGAGTCAGTCACGACTGGACTTAATGTCAGGGAAAAACTTTACCTTTACCTAATATAACACTGCCAACAATGAGCAAACTTGCAAAATCATCTCTGATATTCCTTCTCAAGAAAACCCTATGAAATTCATGGGGTTGCTATGAATAGACATATAACTTGAAGCCATATACTCAGAGACACATCTGATGAGGAATATTTACATATTTTATTGAACCAGCAGAGGACAACAACCTTCAAAAGAACAGTAACCTTATCACAAAACTAAATAAAAAGAGCTTTTAATTCTATACACCAAAAATGTATAAAGTATGCCAGTGTTATCCTGCATTATGAATATAATTTCCCTAAAATAAGTCCAAAGTAAAATAGCATTACCTGTTCATCAGCTCTTGAAATACATCAGCTCGTATTGGAAACACAAAGGTGTTAAGAACGGATTTTAAATATTCCAAAGAAACAAATCCGCTCCGTCCAACATCATATGCTCTGAAAGCTTTGACAATATGATGATAGGCTGAATGCAGCTGCAAAGAATACAATTGTTTTCCTGTTAAGATTATCGTGATTATGAGGCTTTTTGAGATAATAATAATATTTTTAAAAACTCTCAAATTCCCCTCTATTAGATATCAGGGGTGTGCAAAATTATCATTATTCTTCATATTTCATATCAAATTAGTAAAATTCATGCATACAAATCAATATTAGAAAGATACAGGAAAGGTGTGGGGGGGGGGATTTAAGGATCAAAACACTCACCAATCATTTTCGTTAAGATTCTGTAACATTTGGGTGCCTCCCAAGGTCAGTTTAATTTTCATTATAAGAATTAAGCAACTTTGATAAAGCCAAGAAAACATAAAGTATTTACAAAACCAATCCTGTTTTTCTTTGGCCCGATTGCCATAAGGATAGCGCTAGGGGCAGGACTAGCAGACTTGGGTGGGAGACTGAAAACACAGCATTCTTAGAAATGTAGTTTGGGAAGTGAGCCCCCCTGTGGCAGAGAATGCAAAAGGCCCTGCCCTAAACTACATTTCCCAGAATGCAGTGCTCAGCATCAGAAAGCCCCAATGGCACCAGCCTTTAAGGCCATCTAATAATAATAAATAAAATTATTGAATTTGCAAAGAGGACTAAAGTAAGTAAGTAATAATATAAACCTGTGCTAAACTGAAGTTATGTAGTTGTGTGTTATAAAGACAGACAGACATTCAAAGGAATTGTTGTTGTCGTATTTTGGAAAGATAATTTTTTTTGTCTAAACTTTCAAAAATCCCCAAAAATCTGTAGATATGTGAAACTTTCTGAAACTTCTGGGGATTGATGCCCTGGTTATCTTGTGGTTATTGGTGGTTGTTTTATACTATGTTATGCTGTGGTTGTTTATATTGTTTTATGATGTGGTTTTATGAATTTTAGTGCATTATATTTTAACTATGCTGAACGGGTGTGTCCCCATGTAAGCCACCCCGAGTCCCTCTGGGGAGATGGAGGTGGAATACAAAAATAAAGTAGTAGTAGTAGTAGTAGTGCATTGTCTATAAAATTCAAGTAGATAGCTTTTGTAAGTTATTTTAAAATGTTGTTTATCAAAACTTTGAAAATTCCCCAAAAATCTGTGGATAAGTGAAATCTTTGAAATTTGGTGTGCTAACAGTGGTAAATGTGTTCTACCATTGTAGTGCGTATCACTCCAATAGCTTTAAAAATGAGGGAGAAAGGATCTCCTGAAGTTGCGTTGTAATGCAATTTTTTTTTGGCTTTTTAAGTCTCTTCTGTTGTGTTTTTCAGTGCTTTTATGAGTGATGGTCACTCGTTGTCCAAATTTGCTGTCAATTCATTTAGTGGTTTTTGAATTATGCTAATCCCACAAACGAACACTACATTTTTATTTATATAGACAAGCCGTCCCCTGCCACGTGTTGCTGTGGGGCAGTCTGCATATATGTGTTTTGTGTGTGTATATATGTGTGTTTGCATATATATTTGTGTTTGCATATATATATATAGGTATATATGTGTGCACATGTGTGTGTGTGTGTAGATGTGTTTATATGTGTGTGTATATTTGTGGGTTTATATGTGTGTGTGTATGTGTGCATGTGTGTATGTATATATGTGTCTATGTAGATGTATGTGTGTGTATATTTTATATATATACATATTATATACATATTATATATATATATATATATATATATATATATATATATATATATGGGGTGTATTTTGGGGGTTTTAAAGTCCATTCTGCTATTTTTTGTTTTTGTTTTTGTTTTTGTATTTTTAGGGGTGATGAACACTCGTTGGAATGTTAGGTGTATTATGTCAAAATTTCCTGTCAATTTGTCCAGTGGTTTCTGAGTTATGTTAATCCCACAAATGAACATTACATTTTTATTTATATAGATTACTTAGAATCATATACTTGAATAATCATACTTATTATTTCTGATTAACAATAGTTCCAGCAGCAGAATCTATAAATTGTGACAAATTTATCACCTGTTGTTAAACAATATACATTTTCAGTGGTGCTGTACCCAGCACCCATATGTGAGTGTGTATGTGTGTGCGCACATACATACACTCTATTTGTTCTCCCATTAGTGAAGGAAAGAGTTCATTCACCTTTTCACGAAAACTCTTTGCAGTGGCTTCTAGATGGCGTTTTGTCAAATTATATCCAGGTGTCATAGGTGGGGGTAACTTTGATTCAGATTTCTTTTTTTCTGGCAATTCATTCAGTTTCTGTGCTGTTAAGGAAAGCCACAGATTAGCAAAATTGCTATTAGTAGTTTTCTTTATTAGTAGCCAGTAACAGAAAAACCTCTTGATTATATACTGCTTCTGGGCATTAAAAGAACTTAACATACATTGGTTGATGAACAAGGACAACTGCCCTGCATTACTGATGTGGAGCCAAGAGTCCATTAATTTTGTGTAGCAGTTGTTTTCTCCTGGCTTAGGATGCATTTATTTTACACTGTAGAATGAATTTAGTTTGACACCACTTAAACTGACATGGCTTAATGCCCCAGAATTATGGGAGATGTAACATGCAAATGTGAGTAGATCAATAGGTACCGCTCCAGCGGGAAGGTAACGGCGCTCCATGCGGTCATGCTGGCCACATGACCTTGGAGGTGTCTATGGACAACGCTGGCTTTTCGGCTTAGAAATGGAGATGAGCACCACACCCCAGAGTCAGACATGACTGGACTTAATGTCAGGGGACAACCTTTACCTTTAAGCTTAAAATGCCTTTGGTCTTCTCTCTCAAAGGGTGTTGGTGCCTCACTAAAGTATAAACCTCAGGATCTCATAGCACTGAGCCATCACAGTTAAAGTGGTGTCCAGCTAAAATATTTATTATTTATTTATTAACCATATTTATATACCACCTTTCTCAGCCCAAGGGCAACTCAGGGCACTTTACAAAAGGCACAATTCAATGCCTGCAATAACCTAAAAACAATTAAAACATTTAGCATAAATAACATTAGAAACAATACAATTAAACTGATAAAAGTATGAGTCCTCAGCATTTCATTACTAAAATCGTTACTCAATCGCATTGTCCAGTCGTTCTGAAGATCAGAGTTTGTCAGCTACACTGCATTTGGGGAAGCTTGCTCAAAAAGCCAGGTTTTAACTTTTTTTGCGGAATGTTAGGAGGGAGGGGGCCGATCCGATATCCCTAGGGAGGGCGTTCCATAGCTGAGGGGCCACCGCTGAGAAAGCCCTGTCCCTCGTTCCCGCCAACTGAATCTGTGAAGAAGGCAGGACTGCGAGCAGGGCCTCCCCAGAAGACCTAGGTTGTTCATAAGCATAGATACGTTCAGATAGGTAAGCTGGGCCCTAACCCTAACCCTAAATTCATTCTAGAGCAGTGGTTCTCAAACTGGGGTCCCCAGATGTATTTGGCCGTCAATTCCCAGAAATCCTAACAGCTGGTAAACTGGCTGGGATTTCTGGGAGCTGTAGGCCAAAAATATCTGGGGACCCCAGGTTGAGAACCACTGTTCTAGTGGGAACTAGACGTGAATGAGGATATCCTGCTCACCTATCTTACGACAGCGGCAAGAATAGTCTTCGCTAGGAAGTGGAAATCAAAGGAAATCCCCACGGAACAAGAATGGATGGACAAAGTTCTTGAGATAAGGGATATGGATAGACTAACATATGCCCTGAAAGATACACATGGTCGCCCCTTAAAGAGGACAGACTGGAACCCTTTAAATGAGTTCATAGGAGAAGACAAGAACAATTAGAGAGTTGAGTGAGAAAATTAATTAAGGAATTTTGTAGATACAAAAGGGATAGATCTTAGATAACAACATACAAGGAAGAAGACAAACCGAGAACGCAGTGTGAATGGAGTTGGAAGTCACCCCCCCCTTCTACCTATTGTTTCCTACATACCCTAAACTCCCCCGTCCCTGTTTCTCTCTCCTCTTTCTCTCTCTCCTCCCCCCCTCTTTCCTCCCCCCCTCCAACCCCTACCCGCCCCCCTCACTTTGGTTTTAGAATTTTACTACGTAATGTAATGTACGATATAGTCTACCATCACCCCCCCTTACTTATCTATCTGTTGTATTTTGTCGAAAACGAACTCTAATAAAAACTATTTTTTTAAAAAAAGAGAACCACTGTTCTAGAGTATAGATTCAATTGCAGAGCTCCTCCCTCAATCTATGAAACCTTACTCTTGTCTGGAGAAGGGTTAAAACATTGTAGCTGGTCCATACTATACATATACACCAAAGCATTAAAATCAGGTTTGTACAACTAACTGCAAGGCACAAACCAGGAGGATGCAGAATAAAATGCAATGAAACAAACGGAACAAATCACACACAATTTCCTGGGATCAAAATACCATACACTTATTGTTTACAGAAGTTTTGGCTTTGCAGAGACGTGATCCAATATATCAGTTGTGAGATCTTCTGAGAAGGCATTTTACTCTCACAGTTACGTTTCGTAGGAACACAGAAGGTCTTAGATACTGTCCCCAGCTCAATAATTTCCTGCTCAGGGAAAATAAACTGGCATTCTCCTTTTCTTTCCACAAGCATTTATTTATTATTATTTTCGAGTATTTCTACCCCGCCCTTCTTAACCCCCAAGGGGGGACTCAGGACGGCTTACAACCTGCACAATTCGATGCCACATTCAACAAAGTAAAAATATAACAATTATAAATAGTTAAAAGATTCAAATAATACAATAACAACTAAAAAGAAAAGCCAATCTAGTGGCCAACGTTCATCGAGTTCTAAAATCCGTAAGTCCACTCAGCAATATCATTGTCATTATCATAATCCTTTCCAAACTCTGGTCATCATTGCCTTGTCTGTCTGCCAGATTACCCAAAGGCCTGGTCCCATATCCATGTTTTCAACTTCCTTCTGAAAGAGAGGAGGGATGTCAATGACCTAATTTCCCCGGGGAGTGAATTCCACAGGTGAGGGGCAACCCTCGAGAAGGCCCTGTCCCTCGTTCCCACCAGTCTCACTTGTGATGAAGGTGGGGCCAAGAGCAGGGCCTCCCCAGAAGATCTTAAACTCCGAGATGGGATGTAGAAGGAGATACGTTCAGACAGGTACGCTGGGCTGGAGCAGGTAAAATCCTTTTTTATTCTAGCAAGCCATGAGTTGTTCTTTCTTCCTGTGTTGATTTTTTTTCCCTCTTCAACTCACAGCCCATCCAGACAGGTCTTTAAAGTGAGACCTGTCTAGGTTTTACTAGAGGCATCCAAATGACTTCTCCAGTAAAACTAAATTCATTAAATACCCCACTAGAACCGGACTTTCTAGCACTACCTGGGGGTGAGTCTCCATTTGCCATTTTGCACCTTTTGGACTCTTGGAACCCAAAGGTGCGGAACGGGACATACCTCCTCCCACCAAACTCTCCATAATAAGCCTTAATTTTTAAAAATATTTACCAGGTCACCATTAAAGTGGTCATTTAGTCCTCCTATTACATAGAAATGACATGCCAGGAGACTGGGGGGGGAGGGAATTTCCTCCTCCTGCCCCCCCCCCCCCCCGATCCCCTGGTGCATCATTTTATGCCAGGAGGAATGAAGGACCAGCATGACAGTGGCCTAGTAAGTTTTTTTTTTTAATTTAAGGCTTTGGGGGGGGGGTGGTTTTCATCTTAGTACTTACTGGGATGGCATACAAACTCACACACCTCCGGGAAAGCCTGTGTTTTGAGTAGGAGATGTGGGGATGGGAATCAGTGCAGATTTTGGTGCTGTCTTTAAGCGCCCTCAATGCTCTCCCAGGGCCCTTCCAGACAGGCCTCAGTCCTGGGAGGAACTGGGATATTATATCCCAGTTCCTACTGGGATTTCGGACCCACACCTCGTCCAAATCCCAGGATTTCCCTGGGGGTTGGGGTGGTTCTATGCCCTCCAGAGTCAACCAGAGGTTGACCTCAGAAGACATGGAGCCAGCCCCCAGCCCCCCATTTATCCCTCACATTTACCCAAGGGGGCTGGCTGCATGCTCAGACCCCTCCACTGAAAGCTCCTGGTGCATCAAAATGACATGTCGGGAGTTTGGGGGGAGGGAAATCTGTCTTCTTCCAACCCTAACATCCTAATGTGTCATGTTGACATGCCAGGAGCTTTTGCCTGGAGGGGACTGAGAATGCAACCAGGCACATCAGGTGAGTTTTAGGGGTAAATAGGGGGCTGGGAGGGGAGGGCAGGAATGCCATCTTCACTCCAGATTCTTGGAGACCAAAGAACTGAGATCACAATGTGGATTGATCCCCTGATCACAGAATCAATATCGGGAGTCAATCTTCAAAGGGACACACCTAGAAAGATCAGGAACCCACATTAAGGTCTGGATCTTGCCAGGTGTTTAATTAATCTAGAGTAAACTAGGAAATCCCAGTCATTTGGATGCCTCAGGTAAACCCAAATCCTGGAAGGGCCCCCACACTGAATATGTAAGCAGTGAAAAACTAAAATATACATTCAACTGCAGCAGCACCAAATTTAAGCGGTTAAAGCTGGTTTGAGATCACAATATTTCAAAAGTTGACGAGTTTCATTTCTTTCCTGGTAAAATAGTGACTATAACATATTCCTCAGAGGCTTACATTTAAAGGTAAAATAAAATCAACCCTGCCCATTTATATTGCTTTTTCTTTTCAAGTAATGCTATTCTGTTAGTATGGAGACTGGCAAGATTAGAGTATGGGACATTTGATTCAACAGCCTCTGGAGAACTTCTCATAAGATATTTTCTGTGCTCAACAGCTTCAATGGGAGTTAAATGAAAGCCCACATTTCCTTGAGGATCTGGCCCATTTCTTCAAGCTATCTTAATGTTCAACTCAGTCCATGCAGTTTCCCTCCCACACAGTCCTTTCTGCTTCCTTTGCTTTCCTACTCCTCCATTTTGTTCTCTAATAATCACTTTGTAATGACAATGCCAAAAGATATGGAGCCTTTCTAGCACCGCTACATTTTACTTTCTAATGGAGATTGTGTTTCCTTTAACCAAAATGCTTGGGATCAAGTGATTTTGGATTTCTTGGGAGTCTAAAGTATTTGCAATGCACTCTACGTGGGGTTGCTCTGAAGACTGCCCAGAAGCTCCAACTAGTCCAATGTTCGGCAGCCAGGCTGCTCACTGGATCTGGGTACAGGGAGCGCACAATGCCCTTGTTACGACAGCTCCACTGGCTGCCTATTAGCTTCCGAGCCAATTCAAAGTGCTGACTAGTAAGCCCTGAACAGTTCTGGTCCAGTTTACTTATCCAAACGTATCTCCCGCTACAATCCACCTAGGACCCTAAGATCATCCAGGGAGGCCGTGCTCAATGTCCCCCCGTCATCGCAATCGCGTTTGGTAGGGACAAGGGACAGGGCCTTTTCTGTGGTGGCCCCTCGGTTGTGGATATCCCTCCCAAGTGAAATTAGACCTGCTCCACCCCTCCTGACCTTTCGGAAACAAGTGAAATCCTGGCTATGGGATCAGGCCTTTGCAGACTAGGCTGACTTGCTGGCAAAACGACGGCTTTAATGGACTTGACGGACTGTTTTTAGGATGATTACTTCAATCAGTGACTGTTTAACTGTTTGAATGTTTTTATACTGTTTTTATTTAAATTGTATATTTATACTTTTGGTTGTGGGCACCATGGTGTGCCGGTTGTTAGCTGCCCTGAGTCCCTCTGTGGAAGTCGAGATAGGATGGGATACAAATGTCCAAAATAAATAATAATAAATAAATTTGTATAGATATGTATTATGTGCATAATGAGAGGTCATGGAGATGAGATGCAAATTAACCACAAAATATATTTATATTTCATATAAACCTTACAATCACCTGAAGGCGAGTTTAGATAATAATTTTTAAAAATAATTTGTGCAAGAAAGAGAGTGTGTGTACATTAACCCATCAGAAAGCACAAGTCTCACTATCTCAATCACCTTGTGGACAATTTAGAATTTCAGAGCAGTTTGTATTTCATAATTCTTGATAAACAATGTTCAACCTATACTGGAGTCCCCGGTGGCGCAGTGGGTTAAACCCCTGTGCTGGCAGGACTGAAGACCGACAGGTTGCAGGTTCGAATCCGGGGAGAGGCGGATGAGCTCCCTCTATCAGCTCCAGCTCCTCATGCAGGGGCATGAGAGAAGCCTCCCACAAGGATGATAAAACATCAAAAACATTCGGGCATCCCCTGGGCAACGTCCTTGCAGACGGCCAATTCTCTCACACCAGAAGCGACTTGCAGTTTCTCAAGTCGCTCCTGGCACGACAAAAAACCCCTATAATTTTATAATGCTTTGTTTGTTTCTAGCATCCCTTAAATTTTTGAAGAAGAAAACCAAGAACAGACAAAAACTGTGGAATGTTAAACATGCAATGCCTGAGCTGAAATGACTCTGGTTTAGGTATCATCTTGGGACACTGTTTGCTTGTCCAGGAATCACAAAACTCTTCATCAAGGCTGGATCTACACTACCATATATCCCAGGATCTGATCCCAGATTATCTGCTTTGAACTGGATTATATGAGTCAACGCTGGATAGGACAGTGTAGATGAGGCCCAAGTGTTGTAACTCAGCGTGTGCCTCATGTAACTACTAGTGTTAGTAGAAGGAAACGAGGCTTGGAAGAGGAAGACGCTCAGCAACAGCTGAAGCGCATTAGGGAATTGTTCTTAGAGCCTACGGATGAGGAAGACTTTGAGGGGTTTACTCGTGAGGAAATGGAGGTGGAGGATTACCGTGGTGTAAAGCGAGTAGCACGCAGCTCAGACAGTGATGGGGAATCTATTTCCAAACGGCTTAAAGATGTAGCAGATTGCGGGGAGTTTGACAGCGAGGATGAAGAGCTGGATTGGACCAGGGTCCAAGAAGTGTTAGATGTGGTTAATGCTCCAACTTCCAGCGATGAGTTCCATGGTTTCACAGACACTTGGGTTTCAGATACTGCTTCGCAGGATGCAGTCCGAAGTGCAGAATGGCAGCAATGGAGAAGTCGTGATTCACCTGTGGAAATGGATGCACCTGGAGGTGAATCCAGTGACTCTGATGAGATTTAAGGAGTAGCTTGGGAGCAGTCTAGTTGCAGAGTTCAAAGTGTCGTGTTTCCATGTGCCTTGTTCCTAAACTCTTGCCTTGAGTTCCTGCTTACAGCTTCGTGGCTTCCTGACTGTGCTGACGACCTTGCCGGAATTGGAATCGTGAGTCTTATCTCCTGCCCTGACCCTTGGACTGCCTGACCACTCTACGCTCCTGCTTATCCCTTTGTGACTTCGTTGGACCGCTCTTCATGCTGAATACTGCTTATTGATTTGTTTGGACTTCGGAATTGACTGTGTTATCATTGCTTTCCTTTTCTCAGCGCTGACTGCTTGGACCTTTGTTTATTTACATTCCTGCTGGCTGCAAGCTCTTTTGTGTTTACTGCTCTGCTTTTAAGAGCCCTTTTTCATGTGTTAATTGACATTAAAGACCTTACGTTAACTCTTTAACTGCTGTCTTGCCTCGCTGGTCCACCTGGGTCTTGACACCAAGAGACCCTTCCCTAGAGGCAACTCAACCTAAAGCAAACTTTACATATTATCTAATTATTTTTAAAAAATATTATCTAAACTCGCCTTGAGGATCTGGCCCATTTCTTCAAGCTATCTTAATGTTCAACTCAGTTTGGGAACCCCTGCTCAAAATGGACTATAGAAATACCTCTACAGCTACTACTATGGAAAGTGTCCTATGCTCTATCTCAGGGGTCTCCAAACTAAGGTATGAGGGCTCACTGTACATAGAATGACTTCAGTTCCAATAGTCTAAAGAACTATTCTTCTGTATGCAGAAGGAGTGAACAATTTGTGTCCTTCAAATATTCCTGGCTAAAACTCTCACAATCCTCCCATTGTTTCTGCTGGATAGAACATATTCCCACCCATGGTACGGAACATGTTGAATGTCAGTTCTTTTAAATGCCCCAGACTTATGGTTTAAATAATAATCTAAGAAGCAATATTTTATTAAACCTTAACAAAGACATGTTTCAAAATTGTGTGATCTCTACCGGAATCTTGGCTTTCCATAATTTGTTTCTTCTTCTTGTCCAAATTTAAGCCAAGATACTGCAGAAACTCTTTATAATTCAATGTATTTGTTCGGCAAAAACAGTATCGATTCCATAATCTAAAAAAAAAAATTAAAATTCAGAGTCAATTTTATCAAAATAAAATGCTGAAAATATGCATGTTTCTCTTTATTTTGTATATGCACTTATTCATCTAAAATCATTTGTTTAGCTGGTGATCGTCTTCCACTTTATTAGCCACTCAACCATGCATTTCTTCTTTTTCATCATTGAAAATTGAGCCTGTATTATATTCTAGTTTTCAAAAATAACTTTTTTGTTCTGTAATTTAACTCCAAAAAAGTTTATATCAATATGATGAAGTTACCAAATTTTTGCAATTCCAAGAAATTGATTAAATTGAGAGCATTTGTAGGACTTCTTAATTGCTGTTTCTTTTAAAGTTTTCCACTACCATTGAGAACTCACAAAACCACAGATTTCAGTTATCATAGATTTTTATTACAAAATATAAACAAAATGTAAAAGTTCCTCTCTCAATCTCTGTATGTTTGATCCATCTTGAATCTTTCAAATATTTGTCTATAAGAGTATCATTGAAAATGATGACCACCTAACAAGTTTCACCAAAAGAGACAGACAGTGAAAAAAATCTGTGTGGATCTTTTGAGCACCTTTTTTGGTGGAATAAACATGTTAAATTCAAATGGACATATTGTTACTTTAAGGAAAAACACTTAAGACTGGAAAAAGGAAATCTGGAAGGATGAAAAATTCTAACCTCTCTTTTGATGAAATGGAGTAGATTGATGAAATAAAAGAAAAGGAAATATAAAGATAAAATTACAATAATTGAACTTTTGACAAAATGTTTAAACTGCTGGTAGTGATATCTGTAGGCAGATGGTACATGTAAGAAGAAGAAAAGAAATATAATAAGGTATTATAATGATATACTGAAAAACGTTGAACTATAATAATCTAGATTTGAAGGAAAAAATGCGGGAAACAATATAATATGACATGATTAATCTAAATGAATTTAAATTAAAAGGAATAAAATGGGTGAGATATAATCTAAAGATGGAGTTACTAAAATTTATAAGAATTTGAATTCTAGCCAAAATGGATAAATTGATAATACAATTAATACTCAAAGTTATATATCAAATATAAATATTTTGTTTTACATATAACAGAATATGAAATGCAATTATGTAGAACAAATAGTATATCAATAGTTTATTTACTTATTTTATTTATTTATTATTCAAACTTATATGCTGCCACTCCCCTGGGGCTCGGAGGCCTAGTCTCTGAGAGGTCCCCTCTATCTTGTGGGGTTCCTCAGAGAGCCATTCTCAGGGAGCGTGTTTAGTAAGAGCAGCCTTTTGGAGGAAAATGAGAGAGGAATGTGATTGGCTAAGTTAGAGTGGGTGGAGCCTAACTTGGAAAAGGAAAAATATTGTCTTTAAAGAGAAGTTTTTAAATCCCTGCCAGTAGATTGAATTTGGGTGTTGAAGGGAGAGGGTGTTTGTAGTTTGGAGTGGTGTAGAGGGTTAGGAAAAGGCGTGAGATTGGCCAGAGTTGCTAGCAGGGACAGCTAGTGGAAATTTTACAGCTATTAGGAAGATAGCTGGGAATCAGAGAGATAGATCCAGGTTAGGACTATCTGTTCTGGTGAAGAATTACTGTCAGGATTCTTGTTTGGAGGGAGAAAGAAGAGTTTCTTGGGTAACAAAGTCAGAACTGTTGTAACTGCACGCTTTCAAGACAAATCTCTGTAACAGCCAAGTAACTGCATTGTTCCTGTTCTTGTAAATAAACTTTATTGTTGATTGTTCATCACATCTGACTCAAGTGTGCCTCTGTGCTTAAAGGTTTAAAAACAGTTTTAAGCAGAAATCAAAAACTTATTGGTGGGAGTGTAGGTTTTAAAGAACTATCTTTACAAAGGGTACCTCAGAAACACAAGCCTGAGTGCTAAAACCATCACACTCTTTCACAAGATACCCCAAGTAAGCCCAGGGCTTATAAGCGCTCCTAAGTGGGTGGGTGCCAGTGCATTTTCAAAAAGGTTTTTTTCAGCCAGGAAGAAAGTGCCAGCTCTATCTTCAGCTTTTTGATTTTTGGGGATTATTTTTATTCCCAAAATAAATCTCCGTCGTCTTTATAGTGGACAGGGTACTTTTTAGTCCCAGTATCCCTTCGTCAACATGGCAAATAGTAACGGTGGCACAGGATTTCTGTGAGTTGTCAAAAAAGTAAGTTTTCTAATCTCTGTATAGAATATAGGAAGGACTATAAGGTGCTGGACTTCATATACATATCTTGTCTTAGCTTAGTCTGTAGGCTCAAAAGTTCCTATAGGGTCCCCGTTACCATTCTATTTTTTATTCACAGTCACATACATTTCTGGATAACAAAACAATTCCTTAAGTATACAGAAACAAGCATCTGCTCCGAGCCCTGAAATCAAAGTAGCGGCATAAATAGGGTTGAAATAGGATTGCTAAATCAGACAAAAGATCATTCCCATTACCTGTCCCTTTGCAAGTTCAATAAGTGCCATTTTCAAAGAATTAATATTCTATGTCATCATGGATCCAGTATGTTGTTTTATATGTTATCATTGCAAATCTCTAGAGTATAAATTTCATCATTTTATTTAGCTTTAAATGCTGCAAATAAAAAATTTGCAGGTCTTTTTATGATGGTACTCACTGCTACTGATGCAGTAACTTCCATGCAAATTTATCACATTCCGGTTTTCAATGCCAAATACAAGATTTATTGTTAAATAAAGCTACATATTGTTGTTTTTCATTGCCCTGCATTAGAAATCCATTGCTTCCGTCCTGTAATTGCATATATAAAATCACACAAATAATGTTTTGTTGTTGTTGTTATCTAATTTTGGAGAAAATCCCAAAAATGCACAGAAAAGAAGAGCAGCAAGCAGCAAGCCCAGCTAGTAAAGTGAGCTAAAATTGTTTTTAAGTTCCTGGTAATGAGAGATATAAAATATTTAGAGCAAAGCAAAACAAATAAATTGTCCATCCTAATTTGTTTCATTTTTCCCGCAGGCTTCTGTCCAACTCAGTGCTTCTGCCACTGCAGCTTATTAAAACTCCACAGACATCCCAAATAAAAATCATTCCAAACTATAGAACAACATATCTCTTTCAGATAGAACTGCTTATGGAGAACACAGCCAGCTTATAAATTCGAATACTGGTTTACAAATAGAGAGAAATATGTATCAGCTCATACCTAAAGCCCATACTCAACTCAAGTTTCAGGCTTGGTCTATCTCTGTAGCAGGAAAAAGACAGGAATGATGGCAAAATGGACATAACAATTTTTGGAAACCTTGGGTGTACCTTTGAATGTCCTTCATGTAGATTTTAGGTACCTCTGTGCTGTAGAATTAGTGCAGTTTGACATCACTTTAACAACGATGGCTCGATGCTATGGAGTCATGGAAGTTGTAAATATGTGATAAATATGATATGTGGTTTAAATGAAATTGCATGAAAGGTGTATATTTGGTGCCTATATGGCTTGAAAATATATTTCTAATATTGAAGCCTGGAAAACTGCTGCCATTGAATGGATTTTCCTGCTTCTTGGCAGGGGGTTAGACTGGATGGCCCTCAAGGTCTCTTCCAACTCTATGATTCTGATTGATGACCAGAGACAATGATTAACTCTATGGTGGAAAACAACATGCTTACATAGAATCATAGAATCATAGAATCAAAGAGTTGGAAGAGACCTCATGGGCCATCCAGTCCAACCCCCTGCCAAGAAGCAGGAATATTGCATTCAAATCACCCCTGACAGATGGCCATCCAGCCCCTGTTTAAAAGCTTCCAAAGAAGGAGCCTCCACAACACTCCAGGGCAGAGAGTTCCACTGCTGAACGGCTCTCACAGTCAGGAAGTTCTTCCTCATGTTCAGATGGAATCTCCTCTCTTGTAGTTTGAAGCCATTGTTCCGCGTCCTAGTCTCCAAGGAAGCAGAAAACAAGCTTGCTCCCTCCTCCCTGTGGCTTCCTCTCACATATTTATACATGGCTATCATATCTCCTCTCAGCCTTCTCTTCTTCAGGCTAAACATGCCCAGCTTCTTAAGTCGCTCCTCATAGGGCTTGTTCTCCAGACCCTTGATCATTTTAGTCGCCCTCCTCTGGACACATTCCAGCTTGTCAACATAGTCAAAGACAATGGCTCTTTTAAGTTAAGGAACTGGCTGTTCCAGTGTGCCTTCCCTGAATAAAGGAAATAAGGCCCTGATCTGACCAATTTTCTGCAATATGTCATCTGAAGCACTTTATCTACCCATTGGATTGATCTCCCTATATTATTCTCTAAAACCCCCCTGTCTAGACATAGCCTACTTCTGTGCACACCCAGTGTTTTAAAATTTAATCTACTACATCTAGCCCTGCCCATAGTGTTTTAAATATCTTGTGTGTTACAGCTTATATGTTAGTTATAATATTTGTATTGTTTTATTTGCTTGCTTTCTTTGTTGTTTTACTGATGTATTTGTTGGGCTTGGCCTCATGTAAGCCACCCCGAGTCCCCTTGGGGAGATGGTGGTGGGGTATAAATAAAGTATTATTATTATTATTATTATTATTATTATTATTATTATTATTATTATACAATGCTCCTTATGTTAAGAAAGAAAACCAGCTACCAATTAAGGAAGAAAAGTTAATATCTATCCAGAATTGATAGAGTCAACAAGTTTTAGCTGAAAAACAACCTTTCATTCATTTACAACTTTTTGGAACAACAGCAGCATGAAATTTGCTATATAAGAAACCTTTTTACTTTCCAAAAGTGTGCCAGACAGGAAAGGGTCCAGTCATCCGCCACTTTCTCCAAGGGATGGAGGAAGATGGTGTATTCATAGAATGGCTGATTTGCAGGGAAGCAAAGAAGAAGGGAAGAAGGGAAGGTAATGCATACATGATGAATGAGTGAGTGCTTGTGTGTGTGTATGTGTGTGTGAATGTTGAGTGAAATGTAATATTCCCTTTGTTTGTATAACCAATGTAGTTACAATACAGTCTGAGTGTCTACCTTCTTTCGTTTTGCTCTGTGATATACTCTGTCTCACTGTAAGCAAAATAAAATAATCTTTTTAATATTTAAAGAAGTATTCATGACAGATTTACAGCCTTCTATGCCAAATAGTGCTGGTATTATAACCTCACCAAATTTCAGCTCCTGTGATTGCATAGCATCGAGTCATGGTGGTTAATGTATCAAATGGCATCACAGTGTAGATGCACCCTAAATCTCATGCCAAACATAAAACCAGTATGAATGGGTTCCTGAATTAGTAAGCCCAACAAATATCCCACTTATACAGAAAATAGGAAATAATAGAATTTGGCATATAATTGTATAAATTTGTTATACTGTTCAAATTCACAGTAATCGCAAACAATATTGTTTGTGATTACTGTGAATTTGAACAGTATAACAAATTTATACAATTATACATTGAATTCTATTATATTCTATTTTCTGTATAAGTGGGATATTTGTTGAGAAACATAAAACCAGCACAGCTTGGGCAGGGATTAAATCCCAACATTGTATCTGCTATTTTTTATTCTATTCACAGGGAAGATTAGCTTTCCCGTCACCCCTTGAAGGCATAGTCTATGTCCCTCTCTACCTGCCTTCCGAAAGAGTTCAAATTATTCTACCACCTGAAACACATTTAATGTTTCTTCATTTGTCTATAGCCTGGTCACTCTTTTTTCTTCACATCTATGAACAGCATATCCTTGGGCACATCTACACGGATCACTTAATGGAGTTTGAAGGCAGCTTGAAAGTGCTCATCAGACTACTAGTGAAATTTAACCAAGCTATTACACATGAAAGCAAGCCAACCATCTTTAGACTCTGAAACCAAAACATGGCATTCGAAGAGGAACACAACTTTCTGAAAATCTTAACGTTCCTGGTTAAAAATGGAGAAAGTGAGAAACATTTATAGCTCTGTGGTTATGCTTGGAAATATCCAATGTTTGATAGGCTGTGTTCCATCTCCCAGGAGACTGGTTTGCATTGCTTTTTTAGTTGCTTGGAGTGGCTGCCCCTTGCCTTTTTCCCAGGAGCTGCTGCAGCCTTGCAAAGCCTGGAGTTTAACAGCCAAAGGCGGGAAAAGCCAGTCTGCAAACTCTTTGCAATGATTGGCCTAGGGAGCAGCTCTTTGAGCCCGCCCCTGCTCCCGGGGAAAGACTTCCATTTTGGAGTCCTCCTTGCCTGTTCAGTTCTGAAGAAGGAATCTGATGTGCTGGTGGCCAGAAAGGTAGCTCCGACAAACCACTGTAAAAACAATTGAGTTATAGACAGGAATTGAAAAAATTGAGAATTGAGAAATTAAGATAGACAGAGAAGTTTATTGAGAAGAATTGAGCTATAGTTAGATAGATTATAAGAGAGTTATAGAGTATAAAGAAAAATAGATATTGAGCTTTGAGAATTGAGTTTTATAGAGTCTTATAGAGAGAGAGACTGCATTGCCTTATCTCCAAGGCTAATCTGGAGCTTAGATAGATAGGGAAAGATTTGTTCTTTCTAAAAGACAACAACTCTGGATTAGGGTGAAGGATCCCTGGATCCCTTTGCCACTTGGGGAAAGGCTGACTCAGTAACTGGTGGAGAAGAGAAAGAAGAAATACTGTTTGGTTTATCAATTGACTGTTCTGTTTGCCACTTTGAGAAATAAATATTCTTTTTTGATGTTCAGAACTTGTAATAGACTCAGTTGCTGAGAATCTCAATCTTCTCAAGAAAAGTATCGGCAGTTCGCCCAGACATAGGGAACAGCACATCATAGTTTTGTTTTTAAAAGTGTCTGGGTGTAATGGCACAGGCTGCAGAAACTAAAGAGGAGGGTAAATAACATTTCTAGCAGTTGGGGGCAGGCACTACAGCATCTTGTATAGCTCTTATTCATTTTCAACTTTAGCAAACTACCAACAAGTTCTACAAAAATGCTACCAACCACAGAATAAATTTGGCAAAATAAAACAAAGAATATACACAATTTCTCAGCTTCTGGTTACAGACCTTTTTCTTGTTTATTTTTATAAAATGGCACACTGTAATTCCAATATACATACTTTCAGCTCCATTTGAATGGCTGCTGTAGGAAGGGTCAGAGAAACATAAAAGTAATAGCATGTTAACTGCTGTTGTTGTTATATTACACATCAGAAAAAATGACAGCTGACGGAGTCTTAAACAGTAGTTCCATATTTTTAAAGCATTCAATTCCTAACACACTGACAAAACTTGATAATCACAGATATGTTGGCAAGAAACAAATGATCATTGGTGGGTATGACATCTTTACTATAACATAAAGTCAATTTTCCTACAGCGCTCTGCAGTAATCCTAAAATTGTCCTTTACTTACTTTTCATACTCACAATCGTTCATCCTGAAGCAGTTGACTTCGAGAATCCTTCTCAGTTCATGTCTCTGTATCTGCCCATTTTGATTGTAGTCAAAAAGTCTACAGGTCTTGATAAAGTGCTTCATGTTTTTGGAAAGCTATGTGACATTTTAAAAACATTCTCATTAAAATCAAGTGCAAACAGTTGGCAATATAAGCAGAAATTAGTTGGGCAAGCGCGCCAATATCAACAGAGCTCTTTATCTCTATCACAAAACACAAACACACGTCTGCATAAAACCTTTCTTCCCAGCTTCACTCTTAAGTATAAGGACAGAACATTTTGTATCTAATCAGGGTTGTGTAGGTAATTGTCTCCCAAAATATTATTTGAAGGAGTCAAATGTTCATTGATAAGATGCATACGTTATTGCAAACACGATTGCTTTCACTTGAATAAATGAGTTCAGAAATGATGCCTATCTTCAGCTATTGAAACCTAAAGATTTGCCAAAAAAGAATTGTGCTAAGATTGCGAGGGATTGGTGGATATTAGTCTAATGCTTAGATATACTAAATACTTAGAAAGTATTAGCATTCTGCCTAAGAGAAAGTAGATATCTTTTCTCTGAAACAGGACAAGAGGAATATTAGTGCTTTTACAAAATTGTACTGTAAGATGAAATCTGTAACATTTACATTCCTTATTTCTTTCTATACCAGTACAAAACTATATAGCAATTAGGCTTGGGTAACCACGGAAAAATTTGGTTCTAAACTCGTTTTGTTTTTAGGGGGCCCTTGCATTTCGTTTTTTTTAATAATTCCGAAATTTTCCTTTAAAAAATTTCGAAATTTACGAAATTTCGTAAAATTACGAATCGATTCGTTAATGGCGGACGCGATTGCGCAATATGCTAAAAAAACCTCCAAATGGGACAGGGGGAACTTCTGAAGCTTCCCTCTCCCTCTGTTGTTGACTGTTGGTGTGATAAAACAAACAACAACTATAAAACTTGCACCAGACATGCGAAAATAATTACAAAATAATTACGAAATAATTACGAAATAAATTGAAAAAATTGTTTCGAATCTTTATTACTCCTCACACAATTCCTGCATGGCTCAATATTGGATCGTAAGCTAATTTAAATACGAATTAATAACGAATTACGAAATTAACGAACGAAACCGCCCAAGCCTAATAGCAATATTCTGGAAAGTGTCTATCAAAAGTAGAAGTATAGCGCTCCATACACACAAGTGTTATTTAATCTCATTCTATCTGCAAGTAAAATCCTTGGTTATAAATATGGGTGACTATCCAACATTTCACAGAGGAGAAGGTTCAAATGGTGGAGAAATGTGCACCAAAAGAATGACATGTATCTGTTAACAGAGATAAACATCAATTTTTTGGAAGCTAAGCTAAACTTTAATGTTTGATCTGTACCCCATCAGAGAAAGAAGACACATGTACATACAATTGTGCTAGAGCTATCCATTCTTTTGTGGAATGGAGAATGCTCACTGTATTATTATTATTATTATTATTATTATTATTATTATTATTATTATTATTCCTTGGAATTACAAAAATGAGAGCATATCTCCCTTAATTTATGTTGATTCCATCATGAAGGTCTGTTATAAGGTTGATAAAAATGCAATACATGGCAAAGCTTAAGGAACAAAACCCTAGTTCTTCTTCACAAATGAAATGTGGCAAATTCTCTGAGTTGTGGGTTACACTGACCTTTTTTTTTAAAGTATTTTAAAAATATTGTTTTACTGTTATTGCTTTAATGTTTTGATTTGCTTTGTATTGTATTTGTTATGCTATTGTTTGTTGAGGCCTTGGCCTTTGTAAGCCGCATCGAGTCCTTTGGGAGATGCTAGCGGGGTACAAATAAAGTTAATAATAATAATATTTTTATTCGTTTTCCCAAAAGTAACATAAAACCACAATACAACACAATACACATACTGAAAAGGAGGGCCTTCTCAGTGGTGGCCTCCTGACTCTAGAACTCACTTCCCAGGGATATTAGGCATGCCCCAATATTGGCAGTCTTTAGGAGGAGCCTGAAAACATGGCTGTTCCAGTGTGCCTTCCCGGAATAAGGAAATATTTCCCAGCAAAATGTCCTCAAATGCACTTTAACTATCCGTTGGATTGCGCTCCCCTCACTTCTTTAAAACTCTCCTATTAGATATATCCTACCTTGTTCATGCCCAGCGTTTATTTTTTAATTTTTAACTATTACATCTGGCCTGGCAATAGGTTTTTAAATCCTGCATGTTAATGTTTATATGTGATTTATTTAACTGTATTGTGTTATTTTTTGTTATTGCCTTCTTGTTTATTGATGTGTTGTTGGGCTTGGCCTCATGTAAGCCGCTCCGAGTCCCTTGGGGAAATGGAGGTGGGGTATAAATAAAGTTATTATTATTATTATTATTATTATTATTATTATTATTATTAAAGAAAACAGAACCAGAGAAAAATACAAAAATAGAAAAAAATTAAAGAGTTGACTTCCGTTCTTCCTCCTTTCACCCTACTAATAAAGAAAAAGTTTCTTCTATAGTCCCAACCAAAAAAAAAAAATCCTCAGTCTTTGTCAAAAATCCTCTTATTTACCGTCCTTATTAATATAGTCTTCAAAAACCATCCAATCCATCATTTTTATTCCCTTTCCGTTGCTTGATTTTAGTAGAAATGTCAGTTTATCCATGTCCTTAATTTCCATTATTTTCTCCAACCATTGGGTCTTAGAGGGAATTAACTCAATTTTCCAAAACTTAGCAAAAGTCATTCTTGCCGCAGTCACAAAAAACAATTTATCAACATTTAGATCTTTAAATAATTCCGAATCATATATTCCCAAAAATAATTTTTGGGTCTCATTTGGAAGTCAGTTTTCAATATCTTTCTACATTCCTTATGTACATTGACTTTCCCTGGAGCCTCTGGTAGTTGTATCCATCAAAGGAGGGTTTTTTTCCCTGCTGGACAGCAACTCCAGCACCTCACCATGAGAATTAGGCAATTTCACCACATTCACTGCATCGGTTGGGAAAGATCTTTTTTAAATCAGGAGATGACCTGGATGGTGGGTGAGAAACGGGTTAAAATGACTTGCTGGTAGCCGAAATGTGGCAAAGTACCTCCTAGGACCGGGCTTCTTAAACTTTTCCCCCTCACAACCCCTTTTCATCCATGAAACTTTTTTGTGACTCCAGGTAAATAAAATAGGTATAGAAATCAAGCATTTACTGATAATAAATCAGCATTTTCAAGGCTTTCTAAACAAGCTGATTTTTCTTTTTGTGGAGTACATTTGATTTTTCGGCAGATTCCTCACTCTGTGTGTGTGTGTGTGTGTGTGCGCACGCGCCTTTAAGTCAACTGTCAATGTATGATGACCCCTGAATTTCATAGGGTTTTCTTAAGCAAGGAATACTCAGAAGTGGTTTTGCCATTTTCTTCCTCCCACATATACCCTAGAGCACCTGGTATTTTTTGGCAAGTACTAACCAGGGCTGACTCTGTTTAACTTCCAAATTAAGATAGGCTGTGGATATGCTTTGGGAAATTTAGGACTTACTACTCACTATCTATCTAATCTTCTATATATATAAAAATGCTCTGTGCATAATGAGTACCTTAAAAACAAAAGAACCAATGAACGAAATCACACCAAATTTGGCAACAAAACATCTCACAACACAAGGAGTAACCATCACTCAAAAAATTATGATTTTGTCATTTGGGGGGTTGTAGTTGCTGGGATTTATAGTTCACCTACAATCAAAGAGCATTCTGAACTCCATCAACAATGGAATTGAACCAAACTTGGCACACAGCTCTCCCATGACCAACAGAAAATACTGGAAGGGTTTGGTGGGCACTGACCTTGAATTTTGGGGTTGTGGTTCACCTACACCCAGAGAGCACTGTGGACTCAAACAATGATGGATCTGGACCAAACTTGGCACGAATATTCCATATGCCCAAATATGAACACAGATGGAGTTTGGGGAAAACAGACCTTGATATTTGGGAGTTGTACTTACTGGGATTTATAGTTCACCTACAATCAAAGAGCATTCTGAACCCCACCAATGATTGAACTGAACCAAACTTGGCACACAGTTCTTCCACAACCAACAGGAAATACTAGAAGGTTTTGGTGGGCATTGGCCTTGAGTTTGGGTGTTGTAGTTCACCTCCATCCAGAGCGCACTTTGGACTCAAACAATGATGGATCTGGACCAAACTCTACACAAATACTCAATATGCCCAAATGTGAACACTGGTGGAGTTTGGGGAAAATAGAATCTTGACATTTGGGAGTTGAAGTTGCTGGGATTTTTAGTTCGCCTACAATCACAGAGCATTCTGAACCCCACCAATGATAGGATTGGGCCAAACCTCCCACACAGAACCCCAATGACCATCAGAATGGGTCACAGCAATGCATGGCAGGAGGCAGATATATATATATATATATATATATATATATATATATATATATATATATATATATACACTAGCCGTCTGCTGCCACGCATTGCTGTGGCCCAGTCTGGTGATCTCGAAAATAAAGTAATGAGAAAGTGTTGGTTTCTAATATATGCAATGTCTTGATGCTTGTGGATAAACAGTACTTCTTTTTTTCTTTTCTTTGTCAGTGTTGATGTGGAGATTGTCTGGTTTGTCTACTATGGAACATGCAACATATTATTGTCCTTCTTTAGGGGTCCCTTTCAAATCTATGATACTATATCTCTCTCTATGTGTGAATTATATATATCTATACCTATGGCTGGATGGCTGTTTGTCAAGAGGGCTTTGTTTACGTTTTCTTGCCCTGGTGAAGGGAATTGGACTGGATGGCCTTAAGTATTTTCTGTTGGTCATGGGGGTTCTGTGTGGGAAGTTTAGCCCAATTCTGTCGTTGGTGGGATTCAGAATGCTCTTTGATTGTAGGTGAACTATAAATCCCAGTAACTACAACTCCCAAATGTCAAGGTCTATTTCCCCCAAACTCTATCTGTGTTCATATTTGGGCATATGCACACCCATCCCTCTCTGAAAACTCTATCCTAGTCATATTTCACCTGTTCATGCTCAGCATTATTTTTAAATTTT